CCCCCCCGTTGTTGTCCCGGCACGCGGGGCCTGCCGGCACCGGCAGCAGAGCTGGGGACATCCCGCTCTAGCCCAGGGGGTCCCTCCCGTCCCCACAGCCCCGGCACTCACAATGTCCGCAGCTTAGGCATGTGGTTGAAGCTGGACACAGGAATGGAAGTGATATTGTTGTTATTCAGGGTCCTGCGGGAAGGCAGAGGGGGGCAGGTCAGGGCAGCCAGGCCGAAAATGGGAGCATGAGAGGGTCCAGGTGGCACCAAACCCCCGGAAGCAACAGCACCCACCCTCCCCCCAGCACAGGGTGGATGGATGGAGAGGCAAGGGATGGGGACAGCCCAAACCCCCGGCAGGGCTTCCTGCCCTTTCCAGGCTTCTCCCCTCCACAGCCAGCTGCAGGCAGGTGGACCCCCTGGGGCAGGATCAGGCCCTGGCGCATAACTCCACAGCAATGGTACCAGACCCCTGCTCAGCCCCTCCTTGGGGCCAGGAGAGATGGCACACTGGGGATGTCCCTGCAGTGCCTCGGTGAGCGGGGAGCACCAAGGGACACCCTCACCCCGCATGGGGCTTGTGGGCTGGAGGCTCCAGCCGGCCCCTGGCCACTTACAGGACCTCCAGCCCCCGCAGGGCACGGAAAGCCCCATCCTCGATGCAGCTGATCTGGTTCTTGTCCAGTTGCCTGTGGGAGAAAGATGGAGGGAGCGTTGCTGGGACAGCCCAGGCAGAGAGTGACCAGCGGCTCCTGATGCCTCCTGCCGCCAGACCCGACCCCAAACTCCCCCGTGCCCTGCCGGGACTCACAGATTCTTGAGGTCAGTGGCCCCGCGGAAAGCTTTCCTGGGGATGGCCTGGATGAAGTTCTCGCTCAGGTCCCTGCAGAAGAAAGAGGCAGGAAGGAAAATGAGCAGTGCCTGCAAAGCACGATGCCCTGTGGGACTAGGGCGTCCACAGGCAGGGGCATGCCCCTGCACTCAGTGATCCCCGAGGGGCTCTGGGAAGCTGTAATTTGGCAACCAGGGACTAGCAGCCCACTGCCCCGCTGGCTGCTCCAAGGGAGTCTGGCTCCATCCATGGTGGCTGCAAGTGGCTGGGGCTCCCTGGGCACCGGCATCCCCAGCTCTGATAAGCAGAGCAGCAGGGCACGGCTCTGGGAAAACCCTCTGTACTTAAATACCTTGTGACTGCTATAATTACAGGTCCCTGCTGATTAACTGGTAATTACACTTAGTGGCTCCAGCAGGCATTCCCATGGAGCCTGCCCTGCACTTTAGAGGGCACAAATAATCAGGTCATTAATTACTTCATCACTACACAGCACTGTCCGTGTAATCACCCACTCTGCACTGCCGGGGTGTGCCAGGCCAGCACGGGCTCTGTGTTTGCAGGGCTGGCACGGGTCGGATCCCCTGCAGTGCCTGGGCTGGCTTTTAACGACCACGAAGGCCAAAAATCTCACTGCAAAGTAGGGTCTGGGTGGACCGGCTCAGCTCACCCCATCATTGGGGGACCTGCCTATTGTATTTGTGCTCCACAGCTCCCAGGCTGCCGTTCCCTCTCTCACCCCAAAGGCCAGGAGCTCCTCCAAGCTCGGCAGGCGCCTGCATTGCCTGCCCCCAGCCCCATGCCAGCACAGCCCCGCTCCAGCCATCCATGGGGCAGGAGGCCAAGTCCCCAGCTCCCTCCTGGCACAGGGAAACTGAGGCACAGCACAGCATTTGTCCTATGCAGCAAGTCCAGGGGTGAGTGAGGAGCAGGACCAGGGCAACCTGCATGGATTAAGCAACCCCGCAGCATCACACAGGCCACGCAGACACCCCCATCCCATTCCCAAGAGGTGGTTCGGGGTGTCCTTGGATGCCAGTATTTCACACTCAGTGCTAACGAAGCCTGTTCACTACTGATATCCCAGGGCAGTTGGGCTGGGTCAGAATGGAGGCACAGCATCCACACTCCTCCCCGTGCCACCATTTCCTCCAGAAAATGGGCTCAGCACGGTGCACAAGCTGCTTGCAGAAGACATGGAGGTCTCCAAATCAGGACTTCACCCCAGCCAAAAGCTTCACTGCCACAATGGGGAAACGTTCCCAGAGGAAGCACCAGCATCGCTTGCACAGATGCACGAGAAGGAAAACCCAAGGACAGCGGGCTTGCCCAGCCCTCCAGTGAGATGCCCAGCC